CTCTCTCTCTCTCTCTCTCTCTCTCTCTCTCTCTCTCTCTCTCTCTCTCTTTCTTTCTTTCTTTGTTCTTTCTTGGTGTAGAAGGAAACAACACATTTAATCCCACTTAGACTCCAGTGGGATTTGTCCTGGAGAACAAAGACCTGCATAGATCGGCTCTCAAAGACCCATTGACAGCCTTTAGATATACTTATGTGAGTAAGTGTGAAGACACTGAAGATCTTATTACCACCCTCTTCTCTGGTCCCTGGACACAGTGGATTTTACTTGAGTGCCAAGTCCAGGAAAAATGTATGATGTAATAAGTTCCTGCAACAGATTGAATTACACCTATGAAATGGGGCTAAAACTTTCACTATTGTAAAGCTGAATTGTGGTCTGTATGTTAGAAAACCGCTTATATAGTTCTATGGGTTCAGAAAGACCTAGATAGGAGGGATTGGATATTTCATTTGGATTTGTTCACAGAGACACTTACTGAAAGGATGGAGCATAATCAGGATTTTTTTTTTTACACATTCTCCATGTTTACAAGTGGAGATTTTAAACAAATATTTTTAAACCATGGAAGAAAAATGTGAAACATTCTGAAGCATATACCCAAAAGATGTTGTAGTTTAATATAGGAGATAAAAAAGAAGGGATAGTCAATTGTTTCTAATTTTTAAAATTTTATTCCCTTGGTGTTTTGCCTGCATGTATGCCTGTGTAAGGGTTTCAGGTTCCTTGGAACTGAGGTTACAGACAGCTGTGAGCTGCCACGTGGGTTATGGGAATTGAACCCAAGTCGAGAATTTAATAACTTTTGTTGTCCAGTGTACCAAATGCTTTCACAAAATAGTCAAAAGATGTAAGAGCCACTTGGTCAGATCTGTGACTGTAATGACCCCACTTCCTTGGCCACCAGTGTCTGTCTTTTCTGTTGCTGAGACAAAAATTCCCTGACAAGCAGCAACGTGGGCAGAAAGGATCTCTGATAACTCACAATTCCAGGTTATTGACCATTATAGCTGGGAAGTCAAGGCAGCCAGCACTAAAACAGATGGTCTCATCACTAAGGATGTTGAAATGTGGAGACCTGATTGTGAGGTTGCTTATTACTCAGCTACCTTTGTCTACAGTTGAAGGTCCCAGGTGAGGGAATGTTGACATCCACTTCCACACAGGGTCTTCACACATCAATTATGTCAACCAAGAAAATCCTCTACAGACATGTCACAGGCCAACTTGATCTAAACAATTCCTAATTGAGATTCTTCTCAGGTGAGTATGTTCTTGGCTTTTTATTTCCTCCTTTGTAGTCCCATCTTCTGTCACATTGACAGATACTTGTCTCTTTACCACTTTAGAACATACAATGTATATTTTTGTCTTATAATAATCACTTTTAGGTTAGATGGCTACACACATGAAATTACTTCAGTATTGTATATTCCCCTCTGTATCATGATGTTCTTTTTTCTTCCCACAGGGTTGTTCTAAGAAACTGTGTTTGTTATTTCTCCATTTATATTTTTCCCTTTCCCAATCTTCTGTCATAAGAATCATCTCAGTGGCTGCTTACCAATACTGCACAAGAGCTATACACAATGTAGTAATTTCAGAGTTCCTCAAGATAGCTGATAAATTACAACTACAATTCATAAATTACTAATAAATCATACCATCTGAGAGCATGATTCCCTCTGACCTCAGGGACTGTCCTTTTGCTTCATCCTGGTCTCTTCTGGTAGAAAAACATGCTAGTGAATACAACATGCTACATGTGAATAAAGAGAGGATCCTTAAACAGCTGGAGGGACTCTGGATCCCTAGATAGACAAACAGCAGTGTCTGTGCTGATCAGTAGAGGTTGATACAAGGGAGTAGTATGTCCTATGTGTGCTAATGTATACCCATGGGACTAATTATTACATTTTAGAACATTTTTATAACTTTTGGTTTTTTTTGAGATTATTATGTACAATTACGTCATTTCTTCCTTCCCTTTACTACCTTCAAACTCATCCCAAGTTACCTCCCTTTTACTCTCTTTCAAATTCATTGCCTTTTGAAAATGAAGGTATATGTTTGTATGTACATGTGTATGTATATATATTCCTAAATATAACTTTCTCAATTTATAAAATGTTACTTGTATGTATCTTTTCAGGGCTGACTATTTGGTATTGAATAACCACCAATTCTTGGCCTATTCTCTAGGGAATACTATTTTTCTGACTCTCAGCAATCTGAGTTGCCTGTAGGTTTTGTGTGTGTGTGTGTGTGTGTGTGTGTGTGTGTGTGTGTGTGTGTGTGTTTGTGTGTGTGTAGGGATAAGGTGTGGTTTTGTCCATCCTCTTTGGCATGTCTATTGTTGTTGTCCTTGGTCAGGTCATGTCTAGACAGTGATTTTTACTAAAAGGTATGCATTCAATATATCACTTTCTATGAATAAATACTGTAAATAGACTAGTATGAATTTTCTATCATTTCAATATTCTTGCCCCTTAATATAAATCTACAGAAAAACTCTTGGCAGCCTAACCCTCAAATCGAGACAAAGTTTGAGTATGAGTGATGAAATAGCCAGAATGATTAAGGATAACATTAGAGGAAATTTTCCTGATGCAATGTTTTATTGTTTTGATAGCCCATGTTCCCATGCATTTTTATATAATCACCAATAAAATCATGAAAGCAATCAATGATTCATACCAATTATTTTCCATTATTTCCATAAATGTGAATGTGGGAAGAAACTGTGCTTGCCTTCTTCACAGTCTGACCACCTGCATGTGGGCATTTCTGCTGTTCCTGGGATCACACACCTCTCAGTTTATGCTCTTTCCTAATCCTGTTTGTTTTATTCAGATCCCAGTATTTTAGTCTTCTTCATTAGAGAGTAAACTAGTGTCTCCTCCCCTTCCATGTATTCTTACTATCGATTTTCAGTAAAACTTTAGTCAATGCTTATGGATTTATTTTTAACTAAATTATAAAAATCTAATAAATAGCACACGATAACAGGTATCGGCTTATTTAGAGGTTTAATATCCATGATGTATCACTTTCAAAGTGATGCACCTTTAACCCCCACTCGGTATAGACTGTCATGTCTTCTGACCATCTTGCATTTCCTCCATCAGGAACTAAAGGAGTGAAGGGGGTTGCTTTTGTGTGACATGTGGAGTTATGGCCTCAAGTCACCTCTGCTGATGGTGTTGATCCACTAGGGGGCACTGCAGGCTTCCCAGAAATGACTTTCTGAAGTGCCTGAAGGGTTGGGCAGTTAAAGAGACCAGAGAACATGTGAGGCTGTCAGTTACAGAAGGCAAGGTTTATTCCTGGTTGTTAGCTTTGCTGTTCTGTGGAACTATAAACCCAGAGGAGCCTGGAGATCCACCTGAGGATGATTCCATGAGGACAGATAAGAAAATAGAATTGTACTAGTCAACATGATCTCTGAAGCTCAGTAGAAAACATCTAACTCCGTGACTTCAAGTTTTAACATTTTATAATGAAAATCTCCAGAGTTCATGGACCCAGAAACTATTCCAGTACCTGTGATAGCCGAACTTTTCATTATCTCCTCTCAGACTAACAGGAACAAGAATAATTAGTTGAGAGGAGGAAAAGGAACAAGGCACAAAAATAGAAGAAGAAAATAAATACAGAGAACAGCACTGAACTTGACCAGCAATGTGTGGGTCTGCAGGGTGCAGGGAAGGGACTGGAAAAGGACAGAGGTGGAAAATGAGTCAGGGTGAATATTGTGTTTATAACCTGATTGTTTTAACAAATGAAAGTTTCACTAGATACATTTTTTTTTTTGCAGATGGTGATCTACTGATTTCAACAAAGTGTATTTATTCCCCAACACAAATTGCACTCCTTTAAAGAGTTTTCTTTTATAAGAATTCTCATACAACTGATTTCTCAAAATCTGTCAAATTATGGAATTTAAGAAATGGCTTACTCTTATCTGTCCTTCTATGCTCTGTGATGTACGGAGACTTCGGCTCTTTCCTGATATATCATCCCCTCCTTCTCACAAATGTCTCCTACTGTAACTGTTAGAAACAAACAAACAAACAAACAAACAAGACAACCCAACCAACACTCTTCAGTTTCAACTGTAGGTGGCATGCCTTCCTGCTTCCCTTCACTGTGTTCCTCCACAGCTTGTGAGGCCTCACTGGGCTGCTGTGGGTGGGGTTTTCCATCAGGATGAAAGAGCTCAGATTTTATTGGTGCTCAGTGGGTGAGGGAGAGCCTGCTGTGGGTTGGAACTAAGTTCAACACTGTCTGGAGCTGGGGTGAAGGAGTCTCAGCAGTTTACAGGATCCATGGAGAGGAGCCTGGGAGCTGTGCTGGGGCTGCTGTGGGTGCAGGTTTGCTGTGAGTTGTGGCTCTCCCAGATGGGTTAGGGGTGTTCCAGAGCTGCCCGTGGGAGGGGCAGGACACAGCTGACCCAAAGCTCCTCATGACTGTCTCCCGGGATATCTGACAGGGTGGAACCTGCTGAAGGATTGGCGGTCATATGATTTCTTTTCTTTTCTCTGAGCAGGGGTCAGAGGGATGCAGGTGGAACAGAATCCTCCAGCCCTGACTCTCCAGGAGGGAGCCGGCTCTGCTCTGAGATGCAATTTTTCTACCACCATGAGAAGTGTGCAGTGGTTCCGACAGAATCCCAGGGGCAGCCTCGTCAATCTTTTTTCCCTGACTCCAGGAACAAAGGAGAATGGGAGGTTAAAGTCAACATTCAACTCCAAGGAGCGCTACAGCACCCTGCACATCAGGGATGCCCAGCTGGAGGACTCAGGAACCTACCTCTGTGCTGCTGAGGCACAGTGCTCCCAGCAAGCCTGCAGCCTGGCCCCAAACTGCAGCTGTGTGTGCAGCAACAGCCCTGCCCCAGGGAGACTCTGCAGGAGGATTTGCACAGCTGTGGGGTTTCCAATTTATGCTGCATCTCTGTCCTCTCCACTAACACAGACAGTTCAGGATTGCTGTTTCCCGTCAGTGCACCCTTTCCTCACAGATTCCCGTTTTCAGGAAGAAGTTCTCATGAAGAATACTGGGATAACTGACAAAGATGATAAGGTTCACAGTGCTGTCAGGTAGACCCACTGCACAGTTTTCACTGCTCTTCAATTATTGTTCTACAAAGGCATCACACAGACGTGCTCTTCAGGGAACAGAAAAGAAATGGCCCAGTGTTTCAGTCAATTGCAGATCTTTCAATTATCCAGAAGAATGGGACTTTTATTAGTTTTTTTTTTTTTGAGAATTTCATACAATGCACTTTGATCATATTCAGTTCTCCACCAGTTCCTACCAGTCCCACCCCTCGTCCTTACTTTACAGCTTTTCTCTCTTTGTTCTTGGGAAAAAACAAAACCTTCAAGTACTGTGTGTGTTGTCCTTATCTCATGGATGTGTGATCTTCCCTGGAGTGTGGTTGACCTACTGGGGCCATGCCCTTAAAGAAACAGATTCTTTCTCTCTTAGTAACTATCAGATGTCAACATGTCCTTTGTTAGGAGTGGGACTTTCTGCCCATGCTGCCATGCTGGAATTTTGTGTAGCTTAGGCTTGTATAGGTTTGTGTGTGCTATTCCAACTGCTTTGAGTTAATATAAATTAACTTTCCTTATATTTGAAGATTCAGTGATAAAGTGCATCAATAAGGAGCCTCAATTACATCTAAATTATATTGGTTTAAATGAAAATGACCTACGTGGGCTCATATATTTGCATGCTTTGTCCCCAGTTGATGAACTCTTTGGAAAGCATTAGGAGGTGTGGTTTTGTTGGAGGAAGTGTTGGAGGAGGTGT